CCTTTCGCGCCCGCCAAAACCCCTCTGAGGCGAAAGGGGCGTGTCCCGGCGGCGGCCGCCCGGGGGTAAAGTTCGCGGAGGCGCGCGCGTGCTTAACGGTCAGTGCGCGCCTAACGGTCAACGCGTGCCCAGCCGACTGCGCGCCTCGCCTCGTCCCGCGATGGCGGGAAGCCTGGAGTCGCTGGAGTCATGCTTGGAGCAGCATATCCCGCCCGAGGACCTCGCCGAGGTGAAGCGGATCCTCTACGGGGGCGGGACAAGGTGCGCTGCTGGGACGGGCTCTCCTGCCTCTCCCCCGCGGGGGAGGTCGTGTCCCGCCCTGTCTCCCTCCTCCCCCTCGATCTCCGCGATGGATGCCCGGCCCGGGAGTGAGGGGGAAGGAGTCAGTTTTGAGGACGGGTGCGCAGGGCGGGGCGGGGCTGGGCTGAAAGGAAAAAGAAGGGTAGGTCCTGTGGCGCTTGTGGTACTGCGGTGAGGTTAGGCTGTGGTGAGATGACTGGGGGAGTTTGGAGGTAATCCAGATTTGGGAATCAGAGAGGTCGTATGAGAAGGTGGCTGACTGGAATGAAAGACCTGAGGGGGGATAGTTTTGGGGGGGAGGGGGCTGGGGAGCTCGTGGCTTCGGGGTGAGGGAGCTGGAGAAGTGGAGATCTAACATGAGCAAAACTACGTTGGAGGGAAAGTCTTTATAATCTGGGGGTGGCAGATGAAAGTTTGTATGTATGTGCTGCTTGATTTCTGTAGCAAGGTAATAGTGTCTGGAAATCACAATTACAGAGGAGGACACTGGGAGTTTGCTGCCATGAAGGAGAACAGTGAGATTTGCACATGACCTGGCTACTGACTGATTGTTCCCTTGTCTGATAGTTGCGTAGGGCGACATGGGAGCTTGGGTGTCTCTGCAGGGGTAGACAGTATTTGTGATCCTCTTGATCCATTGCATTCACAGCAGAAAAGGAGAACATCTCATATTGAAATGTCTTTGCTTCCTGTTCAATCCAGAAAACTTAATTTGCCAGCCACTGCTCTGTCAGCAGCTCAGGAAAGAGATTTTGAGCTACAGGGCTATGGATTTGAAGCTGCTCCAGAGCAATTGAGAAGGCCACGTATTGTTCGAGTAGGACTGGTACAAAATAAAATTCCACTTCCCACAGACACAGCTGTGGCAGTCCAGGTACATAAACTGGGTTCTGGGCTGTTTGTGTCTAACTCCTCTTCTACTAGATTGAGAAATAACACACTTCAGTTGTTGATGTTAGAAACTCCATCATTAAATGCCTGCTGATTGTCTGGCAATACAGGACCCATGACTGTCTTAATACAGCATACTGTAAGAAATTCAAATGACATTCAGTTCTATTGTTTCTCAGAAACATCTCTTGTGTTGTGTTTACCTAGTGAATTGCCCAACCTGTTTGCAGTTTTTCCAAAGCTAAATATTTAGTCACTGATTTTGTACATGAAAATCCTTTGCCTCTAAAATGAAACAGAAAATCATTTACCCGAAATCAAAAGAGATGGCAACCCATGGAAACCACAGGTGCAGTTCTTGTTTTAATTGAAAAATGTTCCATTATAGGAAAATCTATTAGAGTAAACACAGATTAATAAAGCTGTGTTCATTATTCTTTGTACAGCAGCAAACCAAATCTTATTACAAGGTGACCATTATGTCCTAACATCTTGGACACAAAAGCATTGAGGTGACATATATAGAAATAAAAGTAGATTTAAAAAAGTGAAAGAAAATACCACATTTATAAAATCTTCTGGAGTAGTAGTTTTGTACAGTGACGGGACAGGACATTTCTGAGGTAATTGGTTTTGGAAAGATTACCTGTCACAGATGCAATTAATTAATTCAGTATATGGATCAAGTTTGTGGATTCTTTGTAGCATCTGTTAAAAAGACCAGTTATATTAATGATTTTACCTTATAAATAACTAGTTAACTATTTCTGTAAATCAGTGTACAGTTGAGTTCGTAGGTTGCTGTTGACTTGCCTTGCATCTTTTCTTTTTGACACCTGAAAGTATCAGTGCAAAGTGCTACAACTATGCTTATCTTCAAGTAGAATACTCAAGAAAAAAGTACTTTGAAACAATATTTTTGACTAATTAATAAATGCTTTGATGTTTTTTCTTGGTAATAATCTACTGAGCTCTTTGGACAGAGGGCTTTAGAAAATAGTTTGGAGTTGATAACTTCTAGAGACTGTCCAAGATCTACATGTGTGAGCAGGATTCGGAGATAACAGAGGAAATGGACTGTCCTTACCTCATATTTTATGATTCTGAGTATTTGACTTTGAATTCATGTTTACTTAACATTGTTCTGTAGGTTGTTTACAATTAGCAGCAAAATTGTAATTTTTGCTGATTCTGTTAAGATTTTTAGCTATTTGCAAGTCAGTCGGCAATGAGTTGCCATATATTTAAATGTTGTAACCATGGAATTAGAATTCCATTGGATTGCTTTCTCTATTTTCAGCGTCTAAATGCTTTTAAAAATCTGTATCTAACTCTTTCTATTATCAGTGCTCAAGAATGATGACTTCTTGAGTTATTCCCCCGAAAGCAATGGTACTAAGTATAGAACAAGATAAAGTTAATGTTAACAAAGCTTTTAAAACCAGGCAATTAATATACAAGTGAGTTAGAACATACAGCTTTTTTTTATAGCGTGACACTTCTCGCAATCAGGTGGCTGCACTGCACAGACGAATTGAGGAGATCGTGGAGGTAGCTGCAATATGTGGGGTCAACATAGTTTGTTTCCAGGAGGCTTGGAGTGAGTATTTTCTGTGATTCCTTCTAGGTTGTCAGAGGTCAAGTTCCTTCTATTTTAACAAGTATCATGTACTTAGAAGTATGTCTTGTAAGTAAACAGCAGAGATCTTCCAAGATGTAACAGCTGACTTTACTGATTTGCTTTCTAAAGGAGAAAACAAAGAGTCTTAGTTAGCAGAACTGTATGGAAGATATATGTGAAGTCTCTTATATTGAAGACTGGTGTATGCTGCAACAGTGATATTTGTAGATGTCATCCTTCGTGTCATCCTTCATGATCCTTTCCTCATTTTTTTTCTTCTAAAACTTCGGGTTTTTTCTAGAAAGATATTAAAATTTTAAAAACCTAATTTTAATTAAAATAGAGTCTTTGAGGCTTAATAGAGGCGAAAACCAAAATGAAGGGCCGAGTTGTGAAAACAGGTTATTCACAGAAAGTGTACACTAGTGACTGGGGTGTATTTTTACCTCCGGTAAGACTTCACTAAGTGCATTCTTTCTCTTCTACTTTGCTCTGTGTGGGCCCAAAACTCCTTGCCCTTGCTAAAAGTAGTTTTAAGTAGCTTTTGCCTTTAAACAAGAAAAACAGTTGAACCATTCTTAAGTGTTTAAATTTCTATCTGTATTCATGCAAACTGTGTGTATTTCTTGAGTGACATGAACATTCTTGTAAATTTTGTCTTGCATCGGTGGTTTCCAGCCATGCCCTTTGCTTTTTGTACAAGAGAGAAGCTTCCTTGGACTGAATTTGCTGAGTCAGCAGAGGATGGGCCAACAACAAAATTCTGTCAAGAGGTAAAAAAACAACCAAGCAAAAAACCCTCCACATCCAGCCTCCAACCCCAGTCCATAACTGCCACTGATTAGCATGGATTTCTTGTTTATGTACTGGTCTTGTACCACTGAGAAAACTGAAATAATAAAAAATAAATTTTCACCTTGCTTGACAAATATGATAGAGAAGTAGAAATGGACAACAACAACAACTGTGTGCAATATTTATTTTTTAAACTACTTTGCATTTATAGACTGCCTTGTACCATGGAAGGCATATGAAACTGCGCATTTAACTGTTCCTGAATTTTACAAGGGAGGAACGATTCTCCATACAAATATTTTTAATTTCAGTTTAAAAGGTGTTTCTCACCTAGAACAGTTGAGCATTAAACAACGCTTGTATGAAGGTGTGAGGAGAAGAATAGCTAGCCTTTTCCGAACAGGGAACACTTTCACACAAATCTTTTGCATCTCCCTGTGAAATGACACAAAATGTAGGGGACTTTCTGTGGACCCAAAGACGTTTGTTGTTGTCTGGCTCTTATTTTTCCAGACGCTGTTGATTGCAAGGGTGACAGAGTTCATTTTTGTTTTCTGACAACTTTTTTTTTAATAAGGAATTTCAATTATTTTCTTCTACAAGTGATTGAAACAACAAAAGACTTGAAAGATTTGAAAGAAAAGACAAATGTGCTAGTAAGCTGATAGTCAGAAGTTACTATATTCTCACACCTATGTTATTTAACATTTATAGTTAACATGTAATGCTATTTCACATTTCCTTTTTTTTCCTTTTTCTTTTTAAAAAAAAAAAAACTGTTTTCAGCTAGCCATGGTGTCTTTCATTCTGGTATACCACATGAGTGGTATACCAGAATGAAAGAATGGGATGAGATCTATCTCCTCTTCTACCTCTGAATAGGTAGAGGTCAGCTTTGTAGTTTGACCATTGCTGTTAGGATGCTTTTTTTTCCTTTTGGTACCTTGCATTTCTAGTTGAAGGATTCAGGTGGAAAGCTCTCTGTGATGTATCCATCTTTGATGAAGAAACTGTGGCGATGTGGGCATGCCAGTGTGGGTTAAACGTTAGCTCTTGGTAACAGAGTAATGTATCAGATGAAAACTTTCTTTAACCCTTCTTTATGAACAAAAAATGAAAGTAATTACTGCAGGCTTGTGTATAATAGAAGAATTGTGTTCATTTGTATAGCTGGCAAAGAAATACAATATGGTTGTGGTATCTCCAATCCTGGAGCGAGATGAAATACACGGGGGAACTCTGTGGAATGCTGCAGTGGTCATTTCTAATTCTGGAGCTGTCCTTGGCAAAAGTAGGAAAAATCACATTCCAAGGGTTGGAGATTTCAATGAGGTAAGATGCAGTATTGTGACTATCAAGCTCGTCTTACTTTGCAGCTCTTGTTTGTGTCAGCATGGGTTGTATCAGAGGCACACTGGCAGGAAATGTAATGTATTTCTAGAAAATGTGGTTCATTAAGTGTCAAATCAGTTTTTCTCAGGTGAAATTATAGTAAGTTAATTTATCAAGAATAGAGAGTGATGACTCTTAAAGGACAAATAACATCGAATCTTTTGTCATGTACTCTTCCTTGGCCAGATGGAAACTACAAAAGTATGGAGGATCTTTAAAACAAAATCTGTAAGTCACAGCTTTGTTATGTTAGTTGTGCATGATTGGCTCAGACAGTTTTTGCATGTGTGCATGTTGAACTTATTTTAGGTTCAGGTGTGAGCATTATTTATGGTCTTGATCTCTGTTTCTCTGTGAGATTGTCTTGGAAATGACAGATCTTTTGCTTATGTTTCTTTGCGCAGAATCCCTTAATTCATTACACTTCTGACTGAATAGCTGGTTTACGGCATCTTCTGTTTACTAATCGCATTATTTCCACTGAAGCCCCCAGCAGTTTTTGGGCTGTCCTTCAGAATCAGCTTCAGAAACTGAACTGGTAGTAAAGGCAATGTCAGAAGAAAACTGGTAGATCTGAAATGTGTTTATCCATCCATAGAATTATCACAAGCAGAAAGATCAGGATTAAAAATTAACCGAAGTCTAAAAATACAGTGTCTTATCTAACTAAATCTCTCCTTGTCAGCTAAAGTGAGTAATTAACAGAGGCGTTTTGTCTAAGCACTGGGGGCTGCTATATACCTGCAGTTGCTTTTGTTCCCAGTCTGAATGCTCCAGTCACTGAACTGAGGCTTCAGAATCCAAACTGCTTTTTTATTAATTTTAAAAGCTTTTTTCTGTCTTGAAACTTCATGTTCAAAAACCTCTGGAAGTTTTGACCTGGGCTCCCAGACCTGATCAGGCTGGTTTGTGTTTCTTCAGAGGAGGCTGTTAATAGGTTTCTACACAATGAATTTCTGGCACAGGCCTGTCAGTCACAGTGTTTACTTCTATCTTTAACAATTATTTTGATATTTAATATTATTGTATCAGATCTGTCTTTTAGCTAGCAAAACAGTAACTAACAAACCCATATAAAATACAAGCACTAATAAAAATGAATTTTGGTTACTTTCCACATTCTTGATTTGTTCCTTGTGTAATCAAACAAAAAATAAATTCCTGTTGCTTGTGCTAAAATATGATGGCTTTCAGTTTTCCAGACACTGTTTTGTGGTGCATCCACAGATTCCAAGAACCTTCTTGTTTCCAGCTATGAAACTGTAATGAAAGGCACCTAAAAAAAGAAAATATTTTTACTTTTCCATGTGAAGTATAAATAGAATTTCATTAAGAGTTTTGCACAATTCCTAAAAGTAGTTAGTTCTTATAATCCTAAATGCCAGAATTACCACAAAACAATCTATTTGTATCTTGCAGGTATACTATAATGATTCCACATTTCTTGTTTTATCTACCTCATTATAGAAGCTAGTGTTTACCTAAAGCAGTGCTGTCTTTTTAGCTAGTTTTGTTAGCAAAGCATTAAGTCCATGCTTCTGAGCTGAGCAATTCTGATAGAGGAACTTTAGAAACCACCAAGACTAAATGGAAGGATTATGCTTATCTCTGTTACTTTAATGTTGTTTTCTTTATCAACAAAGTTAACCCCCAAGGAAGGGTTGAATTTGAAATTATTTTTTGTGGATTGCCTCTGTAGAGCAGATAGGGAAAGGAGCCTTATTAAAATCATCCTTGTTGAATTGGTGAGAACTAAACGGAAAGGGGAAAGAGATTGGTCTGTAACCTATTGAGCCATGTGTGGGAGGGCATATAAATAAACAAAAATCAATCCTTCTTGAGACATCACAGTTTGTTGCTGTGGAGATGATTGTGACTTCTGGTGAGGAATAAAGAAATAAGAACTGATTAATTCCCTGAAGCAACAGCATTTTTGTTTTTCTTCTCCTATTGTAATAAAAGAAAACTGAGGATAGAAGAAAAAATTGAAATATATTCAATCAGCAGAATTGTTTTGAAAAAGGATTGTGTGAGTGCCCATCACGTGGTGTGCTCTCTACAGACATGAAAGGAGGTAAAATCAGTACCCAGGGGACTGTGCAAATTCATGAGACCTGGTAATAGATAAGAATCATGAGATGTCATATTTACTAGGCATAGTGAACCTCTAGACCTTGGTTTCAGAAGATGATCGCCTGTATCTATCATGCCATTCTCCTACAGTTAGATGAGGCCCTGGTTTGTTCCCCAGCTGTAACTCTGCTTGCTTTAGGCCTGGTGTGGTTCTGCTTCCTTCAAGACCAATGGCAGCGGTTGTTACAATGGACAGATAGTTTCAATTAAAAGGGAATTGTTTTACAACACACCTTTCTTATATGAGGAACGCCCCATTGGGTCAGGCTGGTGGATTGTGTACCTTGCTTTTCTGTCTCTGAGATCATCACAAAAAGGTACTATTAGGAATAAATCTGGCCACTCTGCAACTTTTGTACTCCTGTGGTGTGCACAGTCATTGTTTTAGGGATGTTGGGTGGCATGTTCCTGTCTCTTTCATTTCTTACGTGTGTTTTTTTTATGAATGACTTTGTCTAATCCCTCCTGAACCTGGTGATAATACCTGCTTTCACGAAGAAGCAAATTTCAGAAGTGCACTGCCTGCTACATGAAAAAAGTTACTTTGGTTGAAAACGAGTACAAGAGTGTAATTTCAGTCAATACCCACTACTGCTGCTGCTTTGGGATTTCTGTATTCATCTTATCCACTGCCTTTGTGATTTTGTAAATCTCATTCATAATACTGCCCTCAGCATTCCATCTGCAGATTGAAGAGCCTTTGTAGTTGCTCCTCACAAGGAAGCTGCCCCATCCCCTTCATCGTTTCAGTTGCCTTTGCTTATTCCATCTCTAGTATATCCTTATTGAGATGCAGACACCAGAATTGCCCAGAGTACTCAAGCCATGGGCACACAGAATTCTTATAAACCAGCAAAACAATGTTTTCTGTAACATTTCAGTACCCTTCCTGTTGATGTCTGAGATTTTCTTTCGTTTTTGACTACCACTGAGCACTAGGCAGGCAACTGTCAGTGGCTCCACACATACCCTTTTCCTGTATCTGGGAAGAACCATTTCTGTACATTTCATTTGGAATATCTCTGTGAATGTTTGTCTCTCTTGATAGCTGTTAACAATGCCCTATCCTTCTCTTCACTAGTGCCTTTTATAGGAACCAGTGCATTTCTAGTTGTTTAGAAATGTTTGATATGATAGGATGAAATTTCGCAGCATATGGTAAATGGGATCTTTTAAGCCAACAGTTGGCTCCAGTTTCTTTAAGGAGTGTTCTCTAGATTTATCCTGTGATTTTCCTGGTGGTAGTTTCAGGCCCTCTGTTTATTTAGAGCAATAGGCGTATAGGAAATTTAAATAACCAATCTTAGCTATACACTGATATTTCCTTACAGCATTCATAAAATTACTGCATGTCACTACATAACAGGTGAATGTAAAGGAATTCCATGTTTTTTGAAGTGTTCATCATCTCTCTCTTTAGTCAGAATCAAAGGATTGTGCTGACTTAGGAAAATTTTCTTATGTGGTGAAAGTAATGAGAGGTGCCTAAAGTTTGGCAATTTGTGGGTCTCTCTTAAGCTTCTGTAGAAGTTTCTAGCATTAGCAGAAGTGTTTATGTCAAAGTCAGTCAGTGCTTAGGTGTAGTATGAGTGAAGGGAAACAGAAAGGGGCTTGAATTTGATCTCAGCAGCCTGAGAGTCACTTTTTGCTATATACCCATTAAGATGCAGCTGTGTACTAAATGAAGGCTGTTGTCCTTGCTCATGGTCTAATGACTCGAAGCTGGTAATTGGAAATTGGTAAGTGTCAAAGCAATGTTGAAGGTATTTCTTTCTGCTTTTCTAAGAAGTCTGCATTTGTGTTTTTTTGTTTGGTTTGTTTGTTTGTAGTCTACTTACTATATGGAAGGAAATACAGGACACCCAGTGTTTCAGACACAGTTTGGAACAATTGCTGTGAATATCTGCTATGGGCGCCATCACCCTCTGAACTGGCTCATGTTTAGTATGAATGGAGCAGAGATCATCTTTAATCCTTCAGCCACTATTGGAACACTCAGGTAAGATACAAACTGATTTAGGCCGTTGCAAACTTTCTCGGTGAACTGAACCTCTGAGCCCCTCACTGGGGCCTCAGGGGCATCTTGCTGAGGTCTTGGAACCTGAGGTATCGCCTCCTTGTTTTGCCTTCATGAAGGAATCTGCATTCTTCTCCATCTGGAGTTTGGGGCTACCAGTCTGCTCATAGTCACTAATTCTCTTCCAGAACTTTCATTGTACATCTGCAGGTCTTCTGTCTCTGAGACAGAGTTAACCAGCATCCAGCTGGTGTTCTGAAAACTAATGAGAGTTTATTTAGATTATCTGTGTAATATTTTTGCTTTATGATAGGCAGTAGTAATCTACATTCAGGCTTAGCTTGCCAGCTTGCATCATCCACCTAGGAGCCAATAATATGGTATCAAATTGCAGTTTTCAGAGCCAAGCTGAGAAACCTTTTTCTCAGAAACTTTTTTTTTTAAAGTGTTGGCAATTTTGTGATTATCAGGCCTCTTGAACCAGACTGAACCAGTGTGAACTGTTTCCCTTGAGATTAATCTTCTGCAGATTGACATTAATTGCACCCAACTGACTTGACTTCCTAAAAGAAAAAAGAAAACCAGCTCAGTGAGCTAGGAAAATACACTTCTTAGCTAGCCCATAATGATTAATTTGTGGATTAGATCTTGAATATTCTTTGCCTCTACATTATCAGCATCAGTCACATTTCAATATAATAACCTTTGAATGTGCCATGCTTCCAAAGCATTGTCTGACACAGGCTGTGTATTGCTTGGGATACTATAATGTGATGCAAAATAACTGCTTTTCTTTGGGGCCGGTGGGGGGCTTTCTTTTGGCAGAAACCTTGTAGAAGTGGTTTCAGTGGTTCTTTATAACATTCTTCTCGACGAAATCACCATGCCTTCCTTTCATTCTCATTGTATTCTGTCCTTTGCTGTACTGCTAAATACTTTTAAATTCTGAATTAGACTATTTGTAAATTGAGGTGTGGGATTCCAGAACGTGTCTATACATCAGCTTAACACATGATGGAACAACTATGCTTTTTCTTTTTGTTTTTTGTTGGTTTTTTTCCCCTGATAACAGTAGGCTCTGAAAAGTTATTTAGTATTGTATAATGTTTACATACATATGACTGAAGAAGTGATGGTAGTTTATGCTTAATTATAAATATTAATATTTTTAACTCTTTTCAGCATAAGTGGTTAGCTTTGTATGGGGTGGGGGGGGAAGTCTGGCTTTGCAGAGTTCTTTGGAATGAAAATGTTTCCTTTGCGAGTTAAAAAAACGTCTTTTGGGCTAGCTGAACTGTCTTTGAGTTTCCAGCTTCAAAGATAAGTTTTAGGAAGCTAACAGGAGCTTATTTCATTTTTGCTGATGATACTGTAATACAAGTATAATATCCAGTAGCAAACAAAAAAAGAAGACATACTGATCTCTCATAATACTAAAAATTCTTTCTCATTTCTCTTCTCCCTTCAGCTGGGTTTGTGTGCATGGACTAATTGCAGAATACTTTCATTTTTATTTCTTCAAACCTAGAAGAAGAGATTTTTCCAGTGTCGGTTTTGTAAACCTTAATGTATGAAATATTCAGGCAATATAGACTTGCTAACTGGGTATACAAGATGATAGAAGAGTTAGAAATGTAAGAGGTATATCTTTTTTAGCTTTTTCCATTTCTTCAGGATTCACCCAATCCCCTCTCTTTACCTGTTTAATGTAAATTTTGAGTTTTTCTGTCTCTGTAACAAGTTCCAAGAATATTCATCCAATTTTTGTTGCTGACCAGCTAGAAAATTCTGAGGACATTGAGCATTCATAATAGGGTAGAAATGGTGAAAAACAAATCGAGGCATAAAATTTTCATACCCATAGCCAGTTCAGATGCAGAGAACCATGTATTTACAAACCTGGAGAGTTGAACTGTAGGTTAGATGCAGTATTCTGTCATTCAAACTGCTTTTAGTAGTTTTTGGTATAAAAGATAATTTAGGTTGAGTAATGTTGGAAAATGTCCTTTGAAAAGAGTTGGATGAATACACTGCTTTTGGGGCATTTATGTCACTACTAGAAAAATATTTGTGATGTGTGTCTACTTACAGCCCACTGACAGGAGAGCAGCGATTACCCTCTTATACAGAACTTCATTGGTACTCTGGGTGCTTCAGGCTCTCCAAATTACTGGCTTTCACTTGATTGTTTTTAAGCATATAATTTTTATTGCAGGAAGAGGACTCTTGAGGCCCATGTAAAAACTCTCTCTGGGGTTGCTTCTTGGCTATAGCCTTTTTTTCCTGCCTCTCTTCTTCTGTGAAATTGTAATTTGCTGGAGCTTTTTAATAAAAACCCTCTTTCTTAGAAGAACTGGCTGGCCAGACTCAAGGCAATTGAGAAAAGAGGCAATAAACCAAGTCCTTTCAATCAGTCCAATGACCATCTCTCAAGATTCTTGAGTCTGACTGGGAGATTAAGAAGTCAGATGCTTGCAACCTTGTCTTGGTACTCAGAATCTGGCAGGTACATACTGTATGTACATACTAACTGTGTTAGTACATACTAACTCTGAGTGCTTCCAGACCTCCTGTTAACTAGTCTGATCCCTATGTATCAAACTATTTAATAAAAAGAAGACTATTTCAGTTTTAAACATCAGTCAGAATCGAAATCTCCTTTGGAAAAGAGGTAGAGGATTGTAAAAGAGAAAGAATTTTTTATTCCTCATTTCTCAGTTCTTGATTTTATGTAAATTTAGTGACTGGTTTAATAGATAATTACTGGGAAGTTATTGGGATGCTTTTGTTAAACATGCTTTCTTTTTCATCAACTCACCACGGGAAAATGACTTACTGGAAAGTGCTATGAAAACTGTGGTTGAAATAACAGCAGTAGGAAATTTAGTGGAAATGGATTTTTCTCTTACTTTCATTTTTTTATTATTCCCATAATTAACTTTTTTCATTCACTGCTGCAAAAGCCTCTCCTGGACCATTTTGGGGGAAAAAAAGGAGCCAACTTGTATGAATCTTTTACAGCTTTGCTGCAGAATGATGTTTGGTGTATTGAAAGTTAATGGAATGTGAAAGTACATGTGTAAATGCTTTGCATAATTTGGAGACTAAAACGTTTTGCACTTAATTGCTTTGAAAATCTTGATGTGTTCATTTTTTTTCTTTTTTTTTCCCATGACAAAGCCATATTTACCAGGCTATCAGATAGAATTGTTTATACCTATATTTGAGCAGAAACGAATTACAGTACTTGGCTATATCTGTGGGGAGATTTTGATTGTAAGAGCAAGGTCAGTCTTAGCAGCTAACTTTGGCTTCTTTGACAGAAAATGTACCGTGCGGGACAGTCATAATCTAAATTTAGCTCTGAATTAGACAAGTAGTGAATACCTGCCTCCTCTTTTGTGTATTGCAGCGAGTCACTGTGGCCAATTGAAGCAAGAAATGCTGCCATAGCTAATCACTGCTTTACATGTCCCATCAACAGGGTAGGAACGGTATGTATCTTCACTTTGTTATTTTATTTCATAATTTGGGTATTGTAGCATGAGTTAATTCAAGGTAATGAACTGAATAGCACTAGAGTGCATAGATTACTCTATTGTATAACTACTGTATTAGTGTTTATAATATGATTTGAAGATGGACAGCGATAGAGAGGTTGAGAACTGCCTTGTTGCTGGCAGCCTACTTTTTGGTTGCAGCTGCTTCCTGTTCTTGAATTGCTCTCTTTGTAATAGGCACCCGCCCTTTTGCTAATTCTCCTAGTCTCTATGGTGAAATCAGTATTCTTTTAGCCAAAATGACTGAAAATGAAATATATCCTCAAGTCAGTGGTACACAACTGGTTGCTGTTGTACAGATACTACCTCCTTCTGGACACTGAAATTCTATAATGAAAATTAATGTTGCACACAATAGGTCATTCTTGCTTTCAGAGTAGTCCAGGTACCCTACGTGTGTGTTCTTTTATAAGGTTCCCTGCAAAAATCCAGACTTGTTCTTGCCGTTATGTGAATACATTTGCCTTCTTTTGTGATCCGCAAAGATGTGTTTGGTTAAATGTTTCCTCTTTTGCCTCTTCTTTAGACTTGTGAAACTGATATGATAGATGTTCCCCAAAGTGTATGAACAACAGGCAGTGATACAAAAAGATCTTGTTTTCTAGCCTATCCATCATAGAAACTAGGCCCCTCTGATGACTCCCTGTAGACAGTGCTGATAGTATGCCAGAAAAAATCTTAATAAATTTATATAAACTTCCATACTAAATATAGTAGACTAGCAAGGATTTCTTGAATGAAATGGAATTATACTGCCACCTACGGATTCCTCTTATTTCACAGGAATACTACAAAAATGCCTTTACTTCCGGAGATGGTGGAAAAGGTATGTTCAGAAATCACATTCAGTGGTTGCTAATAATTGTTAACTAGAAAGTCTGAAGAAATGATAGCTCTCCTGCAAGCGTCTATCTCATGACAGCTATGGTAGCTAGCGACTGCCTTACTTAAAACTGCTGTTTTGTAAGCTGGAGGGAAGCAGCACTTCCTATTAAAGGTGGTGGTACCACAGAATGTGGTCACCAGGAGTTCATACTTAAGGTTTCTATATACTTTCAAAGGACTAAGAGTTTTGGAGTCAATGCGGTATTGTAGGACTGGAAGACAGAAATCTCCCAAATTAGCCTGTGTTGTCAGTGCATGCATGACATTCTATTTGTAGCTTTAAGATTATTAACAGTAATAGCCCTAGCCTGAATCCCCAGCCAAGCCATTTTGCCCTGTTTCACAGACTTGCTGGAAGTTAAGGAAGAGAATGCTCGAAGAAGAGCATGAGATTCGCTTGTATGTACTTCACTTGTATGTTGAAACACTATAATTTGTCCTGTGACAACCATGACAGCTTCTGGCTTAATCTGGAGTGGGCCTGAGCCTTATTTTTTTTTAGCTGGTTTTGGAGCTGTGTTTGTAGCAGCTGCAACAAAAATGTCAGTGGCATCCATTGCTTAGTAGTACAACCGATGTGACTGATTTTTGGCACAACTCAGAGTTGTGCAATACGAAGTAAGATTTTTTTTTTTTTTTCTGTGCCTCAAATCCCAGTGTTTTCACTTCTGACTTTGTATTGAAAATTGAATGGGTGCATCTCTGTCAGCTTTTTTGGAAATGTATGATTTGACAATTAGAATTCATTTAAATTCTAAATAAAAAACAATGAAAGCAAAGCCTTTAGTTCAGAGACTTAATAATGGGAAAGCATAATAATGCATTATTTAAAAGGCAACACAGTGAGGTTTTTCCTGCTAATTCGATATATGTGAAAACTGTACTGTGCATGAAAATAACTACTGGTCAAAACTCAGTTACCTTAGGATCATGCTGTGACTCTTCAGGATATCATCTTGCTTAAAGCACAGTGAGTGAGCAACCACAAGAAATTGAGCCAGGTTTTATGGGACACTGCACGTTAAGTTGTATACTTATTTGCAAATGGTGTTACATGCTTTTTAAAAATTTCTTTAAGCACACCATGATTTGGGCCATTTTTATGGCTCAAGTTACGTAGCTGCACCAGATGGCAGTAGGACCCCAGGACTCTCTCGCACTCAGGATGGACTTCTGGTGGTAGAGATGGATCTAAATCTTTGCAGGCAAGTCAGTGACAAATGGAATTTTAAGGTAAGCTGCTTGTAAAGAAACAAACTTGCATATGATGTTAGAACAAACAAGCTTTCATAATGATCATATAATCTTACAATAGTTAAAAGGCAGCCTTTTCTTCTTTTTAACAGTCCAAAGCTTAAATTGTTGAACTAATTTAACAGGATGTTCTGGAGGCCAAAGGCATAAATGGATTCAGAAAAGGAATAGCCAAATTCAGGGAAACCAGGCCAATAGCTTTTAAATGAAAAACTTAGCCTTTGGTCCTTAAGTGTGGATTGCCAGGAGCTCTGAGGACCGCTAGGGGAAGTGTGTGCGGTTTCCTTATGCAAGGTACGTAGACATTTGCCACTGAGCTGAGATGGGCCTTTGATCTGACCTAATTTGGTGGTTCTTTTTATTCTTACAGGCCTTACTTGTCAGTTTTGGTGAAATTTAGTGAAAACCCAAACCCACAAGAATCTTTAAGCTTCTGAGAACTTTCTGTGTGCAAACTGCTTGCAGTGTTAACTCCCTGAATTTGTGGACGTGTTGAAGCCACAGAGAAAGAACTGCGTACATTCATCTCTGAAGCATCCTAACACACTTTTGAATTAATCTAAATCAGATTAAGAAGGCTGCAAGCCTCTCCACGTGCCTTTAGCAAACTTACTTATTACTATTTTTTGGCAGTCTGAGATAAAGCTAATTTGGATCATCTGTCCTGAGGGTGTAATTTGATTTAATTTGTCCAGCAGCAGTGCTGGTTTAAGATGTTGCCACCTCAGCACTGCAGTTTGCTAACCCTTCAGTTGTGCCAGTACGAGCTATGTGGGGTGCTATAGTGTATACTGGTTTAGCGGAGTGACCAGATTTTTTTTTTTTTTAAATAAAAGAAACAAACCATGCTCTAGTTTGTTCTTTTAATCTGATCAGGTTTACAGCAGGCCCCACAAATATTCTGTTGGAACAACAAAGAAGGCAAGCAAAAGGAGAAAAGAGATGGCAACTTCTTAAATAGGCTTTGTTGATGAAGAAAACATCTTGCCTCTGTGGAGACAGGTCTTTCCTTCTAGTCCTCAGTACTGCTAGAGACTAGAATTTTTTCCTATCCACTCTTAAGATCAGCATGATTTGAATCCTAACAAAGTAGACCAGAACTCCTAGCTCACAACCATCACAGTATATGTAGGTTCTTCAGTGATAATCTAGTATTTAAAGTAAGTAATCATTTGCAAGGAGTGTCGATTTTTGCACATAATGTTACTGCAAGCAGACATACATTTTATAGGGTTGGTTTATTTGGAACCACCTTGTGCATTACAATATAGTGCAATATATAATGTGTTTTGATTTCAATTTGATGTAAAAATACGAATTTTCTGTGGATTTGAATGGAGATTGGTGATGAGTGGTGTCCTGCAGGGGTCCATATTGGGACCAGTACTGCTTAATATCTTCATCAATGACACAGTGGGATCGAGCGCACCCTCAGCAAGTTTGCAGATGACACCAAGCTGAGTGGTGCGGTCGACACGCCAGAGGGACGGGATGCCATCCAGAGGGACCTGGACAAGCTCGAGAAGTGGGCCCGTGTGAACCTCATGAGGTTTAACAAGGCCAAGTGCAAGGTCCTGCACCTGGGTCAGGGCAACCCCCGGGATCAATACAGGCTGGGGGATGAAGGGATGGAGAGCAACCCTGCCAAGAAGGACTTGGGAGTACTGGTGGATGAAAAGCTGAACATGAGCCACCAATGTGCGTTCGCAGCCCAGAAGGCCAATTGTATCCTGGGCTGCATCAAAAGAAGCGTGGCCAGCAGGTCGAGGGAGG